AAAATGCTGTCTGCAAATTGCTTTTTGCACACAAAAGCACAGAAGGATAGTGGGCAGTCATTTAATGATATTGTCTTAAACTAAATGGTTCAAATGAAATCTAAAATCAAATGAAGTTCGTGAAATCGCAATGGATGTAGCTTTGTAATAATCAGACTTAATCATACATTGTCAAGAAACCTTTTAACAAACGCTTTCTTTAGTATGTTAGCTGATGCACAACGTCTCACTGTTCCGTTTAGAAAAGGTGGTTGTATTACAGATTACTACCAAATGCAAAACACTGTTGTTTAGCTTGAACTGGAAAAAAATGAAGACATATTTTATATATTGCAACAACTCACCAGTGTGTGATATTGTTGGATTCATATATTACAAACTGTAGTAGTCATCAGTATCTTGGCTGTACTGGTTCTGTGATGTAAATATGTGTACTGTAAAATAATTTATGTAAATACAACTTTTTTGTCATATAGATTATTGCTGAATATGCAAATGATGCCACTATTTGTTTCACTCAGAGCATAGTGATGAATAAAATCAACGTGTGGTCTTTTGCTTTATGAATCTTTATGATGCATTTGAATGTTAAGTTGAACATCCAAAGGTTCATGTTGAAACAGCGTCTTGCTAAATGTTTCTGGTGTTTCTGACTCAGAGTTTCCAGACTTTCCAGACTCCTCAACAAGTTTCCAGTTGTGACGCACAAACATGCTTCTTTTTATTGGCTGTATAGACATAACTTTTTTTTTTTATTGTATATCTGTCCCCCAAACCACCTTTTAATTGCCAAGTGTTTACTCAAAATGGGTTGTGGGCAAGGGTACACCCATAGGTGTCCTCAAAAAAATCTTGCCAAGCAGGATATCAGGCTTCACCACAATTGCTAGTGCTGAAAATTGTTGTGGAACAAAAGGCATGCAGAAAAAGTTACCTCAAATTGTAGAATGTCTGCCAGAAAATACACAGTTCAACCTCGTTTTATGTGTTTTTGTCTGCTTTTTAAAATGGTTTTAATTTTGTGATTTTTAGTCTTGTCCTTCAAATCTGAAATGTATGTTACTCCCACATTCATGTTTAAAGTTAATTTTATTCTGGTTTATGTTGTGCTACTAAAGGGGAATATTAATTAAAATTTTGACTATTCTGTAAACATCACAGTGGGGGGTGACAGTCACTGAAGAGGTTTTAGTGCAGATGCCTCATTCATGTTTCCATAAGAGTTCACAGACTGTTTATTAAACATGGACACAGTCAGTATGACTTCACCCTGTTAGTGAAGTTCTGTTATGACACCTGAAATTGAACACTTTCGACACCGTTTTCTTGGTGATTTGAAACCATGCGTCATAAACACTGGCTAAAGACTTGTGTCTGTCATGGTGCTGCGTCGTTGACCCAGCGTTTTGTGTTTTATGATTATTTTTCTATGTTCTAGTTATTGTGATTTTGGTATTCTGTGTCCTCCCCTTGTGCCCTGTTCGTGTTCTGGATTTCCTGTTTTATTTTGAGGTCTGTGTGTGTTGTCATTGTGTTCAGCTTGTATCCTCCAGTCGTCTTTGTGTATTAGGATCAGCTGTTCTTCCCTCCTGTGTGTGATTACCTGATTACCTTGTGTGTGTATATATAGTGGGTGTCGGTCTGTACTCGTTGTCGGCTCGTTTGCGGTCCATGGTGTTCTGTTCCTTAGTCTGCGTCTCTCTGCCCCTCACCCCGTTTCGTATGATCTCAGGTTTGCTATTTAGTTTTCCCAGTTTATTTGTCATCATTGCCTGTTTTGCCACTCCGCCACTTGTAAATAAACGTCACTCGTATCATCAGTCACTGCCTGCATTTTGGGTCCTTTTTCCTTCAACACCACACGGCTCGCCTCGGCAGCCGTGACAGTGTCAGTGAGCAACTTTACTGACTCTACTGAGGACTCCCTTTTTTTAAATTCACTTTGACAGAAAACTGAGGTGAAAACATTTTTTGAGGTCACACAGCAATGGTACTAACTGGAAGTTACAATGCAGCTAAGGGAGTTGCCCCCTGCTTTCCAATAAAAAGAATGCAATCATATTTGGCTCAACTTTCAAATCACAAAGCTCATTTTGGCTTTTAAGTGACAGTGTGTAAAATCTCATCAGTAGATGCCAGTAGATTGCAGATTGTAGTCAAATGAATTCAATTTCCTTAACCCTTCCAAGTAACATACATAATCCTAGAAGTGGTGGTCATTGTAGGACAAACATGTTTTAGTCAGACAAGAGAAATATTAAATTTAGACTGCACCTGAGCAACCATGGTTGCTTGAAGTGTTTCTAACACTGTTTATGTAAAAAGACATTGTTGTACCCACTATATTTTACCGTATTTGAATAATATCAGCACGTAGCAATGAATCAGGAGTAATACTGTATGACTCAATTAAATATTTTGCGGTATTTTGCATTTTTACCACCGAGTGATCAGAGACTAGCTGCTGTTCATTTGTGGTAAGTGTAGTAAGATAGCAACATGACTCCGTCTGCCCCAGAGACTTTCGCTGTTTTGGTAGGCTGTCAGTCTACTGTTAACCCTGCTATCAATATGTAGCTTTAAAAACTCTAGAAATGTAAAACTTTGAGACTGATATGAGTCAATGACTCAGAGAAATTAACCTCTCTCTGATGAGCGAATATTGAGGTGGGTTGTTTAGGACAGCGGTCTCCAACCTTTTTTGCGCCACGGACCGGTTTATGCCCGACAATATTTTCATGGACCGGCCTTTAAGTTGTCACGGATAAATACAACAAAATAAAACTAGTACCGGTACCGAAAAAAAGAAGATTTATTCATAACACACGTGAAAAGACCAAGGAAAACCGAGTAAACGATAAAAACGATATCAAAATAACGCTGAAAGCCGATAAAATCCCTGAAAACTATACATTTCACACCAGAGCCTCAACTCTCGCAGCCTGGTACCAAGCGACTCACGGACCCGGTCCGAGGCCCGGGGGTTGGGGACCGCTGGTTTAGGACATTACTGTTGGCTGCTATTGGCTGCTGTTAGCCTCTGTTAGCCATGGCTAACTGCTTTTAGATGGCATAAGTGAAACTTTCATTAAAGTGGATATAACATTGTTGGACTTTGATACTTAGTTAATAAACTCTCATATGATGTAAAATATAGTCAAGCTATTTAGCAGAAGTAAAGGACGCTCAAGCCTAAAATTAACTGGCATAATGTTAGCTAATAACCAGTGACTGCACTGGTCAGCACGTTGTCACCTATACGGAGACATCTAATCTGCTGACAATAATTAACTGTGAAAATATTGGGAATAAATAAGTATTACTATGTATGTTTTTTAAGTGTTGTAGCTCTAACTTCAGTTCAGGAGATAAGGCTCAAGGTGAAGTGGATGACATTTCATTAAGATGCAAGTGGCTTTGGCTTTTATTCTTAATTGATGAATGCTTAGTACAAGAGAATGTTTCAGTTTGGTGGGAGATGTAATTACACACTAATCATTGTATATTTATACAATATTCTTTTTTATTTTACTAAATAATCCCACAAAAATGACTGACTGTACTTTTAACATGCAACATATTTTTGTGGCCTTCCTTTTGCAACACTAGAAATGCTCATTACTGAATTGGTTGCTGAGATGGTCTACTTTGAAGATGGCATGTGTGTAGTGTGTGTTTTGGCTGATAAACCATCCATTAGCCACACTCCATTTAATCAATTATCCCCTCTCCCTAAGAACTGAAATCATGGGACAAAGGTAATGACACGTGCATCAAACCGACGCTGATACACTAAAAGGTTTGACTAGAGTATATATTTGTTGTGAACATGCATTTTTTTTCTTTTCTACTTTTTAAATCACTGTCACCATCCAACAGCTTTACCAGTTTGCTCAGACCCTCCAGCTGAGTTACTTATGGAGAACAACACAACAGCTGAGTTTGTCTGCAACCACACGGATGCATGGGAGTGGGTTTACACCATGCAGCCTGCCTATATGTCGATCATCTGTCTTCTGGGAGTAATCGGCAACTCCTTCGTGCTTTGCGTCCTCTGTCTTCAGAAGCGGAGAAGTTCTGTTGCTGACATCTACCTGAGCAATCTGGCAGCAGCTGATCTCCTCATGGTTTCCTGTCTGCCGTTCTGGGTATCAACTATAATCAACAAGTTCCACTGGAGATTTGGGGAGTTCATGTGCCAGCTTGTCAATATTGTCATTGGGATGAATTATTATTGTAGTGTGTTGTTCCTTACTGTTGTGAGTATGGACAGATATATGGCTCTCACTAAACCATTGTCCCAAGGAAGGCAGAGGCAGGCTTTCTGGGCACATGGAATTTGTGTAACCATTTGGATTGTTGGTATCTTCCTCAGTTTTCCTGCTGTTCTTTTCCGCTCTGTGCAGTTCTTCCCCCATCTGGGCATTGATGCATGCTACCTAGACTACCCTCATGAAGGGTGGCGATTGCGGTACAACATAACTGTGAACATAGTCTGCTTTCTCATTCCTGTCCCAGTTGCATTGTTCTGTAGTTACCACATTATTAAAGTCATTCTAAAGAGACAGAAGATGAGAAGAAGCAACCGCGGGAGTGCGGAGAGGAAGGCAGCGTACCTTGTGCTTATTGTTTTGGCTGTGTTCATTCTCTGCTGGCTGCCTTACCAGATTCTGATCTTCTTTGACACCTTGGATCACTATGAGGTCATCTCTGGATGCACGTGGGCATATGTGCTGGACATTGGCAACCAGTTAGCTACGTACCTTGGCTACAGCAACAGTGCATTGAATCCTTTCTTGTATGTGATTGTTGGGAAGAACTTTAGGGAGCGGGCAAGGGAAGTGTTTAAACCCCTTCAGTGCAGGAGGAAAGACCAGCGTGATGCATCTGGTCATGGTAATGCCAATCTCATCTCAAGTAAACAAACAGAGAGCACAAAAATCTAAATGAATTTACATATAAAGAGTAAACGCTTTTTTAAAAATATTTGTGACTGAATTGAATTTCATGTATTAATATTTTTTATGTTGTTGGATTAGGGTCTAATAAGAGGGCCTGCCCTGGCCTTTGAAGCTTAGCTTTACTTTTTAATTTTTGTTTTTAAATTAGTGTTTTATTTTCCAATCAATTAAAGCTTCTCTTGTGTGTCTTACACCCACACAAATGACGGTAAACTCAAAAGGTTAAAAGTTACTTGTGTTACGGTAATCCTTTGCATGCTAAAAGCAAAAAATAAATCTCTATGACAACATCTGTAAAACAAATTCAAGCATGTCGAAAACTGATCTTCTCACATTCTTGGCATGTTTGTCCACAACCACTTGTTTCCAGACAGTATGAATTTCTCTTAGCAGCAAGCTAAAACAAGTCCTTCTGGCATGTGCCCTTACTACAAGCTTAGTTTGGTTCTTATTCTTGGGAGGACCGATGTGCAACCTGTAATTTAGGAACCTTTTTTGAACTGTAACCAGCTTAGTAAAACTTTAATAAAGTTGTCCTTGAACTGCACTGAATCAGTCATCTTTACGTTTTTATTGGTCAAACCCTTGATTAAAGCAGATGATAACTTTTGAGGTTATAAAGAGTGTTGACACCTTGTAAGAGAATGTGATATGGGGGCAACTGGCTGAACTTGAACTAAACAAATCAAAAGTTACCCCAGTGAGAAGCATGAATTACAGGAAAGGCTGTGACATGGTAATGGTTGCATCTATATTATTTCCAAAGTATACACCCTCCCTGTGACAACTCCAAACTACAATATTTTACCTCTATATATGTTTTAACATTCTAAACTGAACAAACAAGTAAAAACAACTTTAACAGAGGATGTTAGAGATGATGAGAAGTTTAATAATTGTTGTGCAGAGACAGACGAAATCTTTCCCACTATTTCTAAATAGTGGGAAACCGTTTATCACTAATTTCTAAAATGTTGAAACTGAGGGAAACAGTTGACTAATGTTTGCCATAATTCTGTATTGTTTGAAGAGAGGCAGTGTGGCTAGATTTAAAAAAAAAAAAAAAAAGCCTAATTCTGGAAGCAAACTGGTGTTTATCCATTTTGTCTATAAAAACACTGGGCTTTGCTTTTTTGAACGGTCCCATGTGTTAAATTTGGCATTTACAAGTACTCAAAGTCACAAATGTAGGACAGATACATAAAACTGACTAAGCGAGGAATGTTTGGCAAAGAGCTGATCTTCATCTTCATTTTGGTATGCTGCTGTCATTTTTACCATAAAAGGGATTACACAATCTCGGGCATACTGATTATTAGATAACCCTTCATCTAAGTCTTCCAAGTTACAAAAGAAAAATACTGATTATAGTTTACATTAACTCCAGTTTGATTGGAAGTTGGCTTAATATTTGTTATTGTTGCCATTACCATAACTTTAAATTTAGAACATATCAGAACTGGATGATGTACAAGCTGAGGATAAAACTGATAAATCTGGTTTTATAGCATTTGGAAATCATTACCGGTCTAAAGATTTCACTGTTTACACAGTTAATGCAATCACAAATGAAAAAAGATGAAAAAAACTAAAGGTTTTATTAATGATATCTCAACATCATAGCAAACAGAGAGGTCGCGGACAGTATAAACAGGGAGTAATGCTGTAATTTCCTGAATCAGTCATATCTTTACAGGACTGTTCGTAAGCTTTGAGCTACTCCGTCATTTCCGTATATTTTGCTTCCAAGGAGCAAGACTTTCTTGGAATTAAAAAAAAAATCTCTGACCTCCCCTGTATCATTAATGAAGAGATATGACACCTCAATATTTATCAATAAATATGTGGATTGGCACCTGTTTAGCTTAGTGGGTGAGCAGACGACCATATGCCATATAGCCGGCCCTTGGCTGCATGTCTTGCCCCCTCTCTTTCCTGTCTTTCCTATTTCTTGTTGAATAGTTTTCTTTATCCAATAGCAGCCTTGGGAAGCCATATAGACAGATAACCCTCACTAACTGATGTACACCCGGTCATTTTGCTTTGAAATATGACAGGAACCACATAGTGCAGGGAATAGAGTAGACTAGGGTACCCAGTGATGTACAGCTGATTACACAAGAACTGAACTGAAGCAGTGTGGGATCATGCTGACAAACAACAGAAAAATTAACATCCCAAGAAGAGCGTTGAGTGTCTTTCAACAAGACTAGAGAACTATTCCTGCAGACTAGTTAAAGAAATTAAAAAGTAAGCTCGTCTGAAAGATTTCAGGCTGTGTTATAGATTATAAGTGGTCATACCAAATACAAGACATTCAAGTTCATTACAATTGTACAACAAAGCGTTTTATTTAAATACTGTTATTTGATTAATGCTTGCACATGTTTCAGTGAATCAGTGCACTTCCAATTTTCCTAGAAGATGGAAAGTTACAAGGAGTGGCTCAACCCTTTTCCATAAGTACATTTTTCCATAGACCATGACGAAAGATGTTAGGTAAACGTTGTGTATTTACCGAGTTTTTTGTGCTTTTTTGGGTTGTTCTGTTATTGTTTATTACCTTCAGCCTGTTTCTCTTTTTTCTTTTTTTTAGTTATAGTTTAGATTTTCACCTTTGTATCTTTCTGCTTAGTTTGTTCTTAGTTCTGGCCATTTTGAGCTTTATATGCTAGCTTATTTCTCTTCATGATTTTATTCTCAGTCCGTCTCCTTTTTGTCATTTGCAACCAAAGCTAATTCCCTGAGTTTGTTTTTGCTGCCCTCCTGTGTTCTCTGTGTCAAATCTGCATTCCTGTTTCCTGTTTATAGCATAACTAAAGTTGGTTTGGTTGACTAAACTATTAAGTGTAAAAGTTGGTTGTGCTGTTACTGGTGAGAGCTGCTCTTCGTGATTTTAAAAGTGTCTCATTTTCCTTGATGTCAAATGCAAAATGTGTCTATATGTCTACTGTTGTCTTCCTCCCCAGTGTTGATAATTTGTAGTGTTTTCATGAGAAATAGAAAGCATGGGAGCTAACTAAACCCCACCTACCATAGTTCCAGGTGGCAGATCAAGCGTGTGCATCTAACCTTATTGCCCAAGGAGATTACTTCTGATTGGATCACTCACCAACTGGCCCCCCCTTTCTCCACTACTTAATTAGTTTTGATTGGATCTCGTCTCTCCAGAACATATTTATGACAGTTTTAATCCCCGTGCATTATTTTTATTTAGTTATTGTCTTGTTTTCATCAGAAAAAAA